TCAAATGATCATCATATTATGAAAAGAGAAACAGAACTCTTTGGTTATCTTAGAGATTTTGTATCCAGCCCGAACGAAGTCTGGGAATACATGGACTTTGGCAATCGTCCCGCGCCGGACCCCAGCCCCCTCCCCGCCCCGCGCCGGCGCCCCGCCCCCCGCCCCCCCCCAGCCGCCTTCGCCCGGCCGCGGCCCCGCGCCACCGGCCCGCCGCGGCCGGCCGCCGTAGAGATTTCCATCTGTGAACGCTCTAACCGGCTGCAGGTTCTTCTCGGATCATCCTCAATTGCGAATGTAAGCGTGCGTTTATTGTAAAGGCGAAGAACTATCGTTTTTCGGTTGTGGCGGAAGTCCATCGTTCGCCATGGTAACACATTTTTTCGTCGCAATATTCTAAACCTGTAACTACCTTCTTTTACCGCATTGTCATGAAATTAAAAAATTTGTATTACAAATTAAATAAAAAAATTATTTAAAAAAAATAAAAAAAATTTGTAAAAAATATTTAAAAAAAATAAAATATGTGTATTAAAATTTATATTAAATTTATTGTCATCAAATATATATAGATATATAGTCATATATATATATAGGGACATGTTATTATCAGCCGTGTGCCCAAATTCCATAGGCAATCGGGTCTAAAACCACAGCACAAGTTCAGCAGAGTTCTACACATATTTCCACAAAAATGTTGTTACCATGCCAACGATGCTCCGCCCACACAAAAACGAATTGCGTCTTCGCTTACCCATAACGCACCTTCATCGCAAAATTTGAAGATGATCCGAGATCGGGTAAAAACTGCCCACCAGGTCACTTTGAATTTATTTCACCTTTACCTTGACCTTGATCATTAATTCTCTTCCGCTCTCAACTCAGCCCCTAATTGACCTAGCGCGACCAAACTTGGTAGCTTACACATCTTGGGGAGAAGAGTCTGTCACATACCAAAACCACCACTGCCCTTGACCTTAGTTTGACCTTTCACCGTCGACTTATACATTTCCTCTTCGGGCCTCCTAGGGTAACCGAATTTCATATATGAGAGAGAGAGAGAGAGAGAGAGAGAGAGAGGGAGAGAGAGTGAGAGAGAGTGTGTGGGGGCATTGAAAGGATAAAATGCGAAAAAGGGATAAGAAGAAAAACAATTTAAAAAAAGAGAAAGTTGAGATGAGCGTGTATCAATGTAAAGAAATAATAATAGTTGTTGATAATGATAATAATATCAATAAGAATGATTGCAATAATTATAACGCAATCATTCTTATTGATATATAACATTTGCAGTAAAGCAAAGGGAAAAGATGTTTTGAGTGTCCCTCGAATAGGATGTAAAGCTAAGTTCACATTATACTTTATTAGAAGTTATGTTTTTAGCATGGATTTTCAAAAATAATTAGAAAAAACTTAAAATTATGATAACTCATTAATGTGCAAGAATTGAGCTTGTGAAAAAATATATGTTGTTTAGAGGGTCATACTACTTCATCATATGAAAGGAAACAAAATCCCTAGATGGTGGTCACGAAATCAAAAAAATTGACTTATAAAACCTCTATGGCCTGCTGTCTAATCTTCAAAATAAGCACACACGTTATTGTTAATATCTTTAGTTTTGAACTTCAGACTGCGGACTCCCTCATTTTGCTACGGACTCCCTCTTTTTGAGGGCAGGGAGTCCAACAGACTCCCTTGTTCACAATTTAATTTCTACCCCTGTTTATCGCAGAGCACATCAGACATTTCCTCACCAGTTTATGTGGTATATGGCAGTGCTGCATATAGAGTGAAATGTTGCAGTCAATGTTGTTGCTCATATTGTCAACGTTTTTCTGATTCTAATATGCACAAGCCAATTGATATTGGCCATTAAAGTGGTTATATGATTTGGTAAATAGTCAACGGTGCTACTGTTGTATCTTTCAGGGACATGGAGGCGGTTTTTATAAACCTGATAAACATGGAAAGCACGGGAAACTAAAAAAGCAGAAGAAGTTAAAGAAACAGAAAATGAAGAAGCACAAACATGGAAAGTCTAGTAGTTCCAGTAGTTCTAGCAACTCCAGTGACGAAGAAGAATAAACCAATACTGTGTGCTGGCAAGTGTATAATTAATACATTCAGTAATTGATATTAACAGGAAAAAGACATTTACTTACTGATGATATTATATCAAGAGTAAAAGAATATACCACATCAGTGAAACTTATAAGTGAGATCGGAAAGTCCCGGTGCCAATTAAGGTCAAAGGTCAAGCGGTATAACATTGCCTCACCGCGCCATTGAAAAGTACGCAAAAAATGTAATCACTCATGCATTTTTAGTTTCTGTACCAACACAAACAGTGCAAAATATCCCAAATTAGCACAATCATATTTATAAATGTTTCTATGAACAGAAAGGCACATGTGATTTGAAGTACGATGTTATTGAAGAGAAATATAGATAAAAAAACCTAGACATTCTCACGGATCCGTGTATCTTTGTATACATACGTATCAAGAGTAGATAATAACACAAGAGTGCGGCACCCGATTCCCGCATTTTTAACCGATTTTTCTCATCAAAATTTGCCACCAATAAAGAAGGAAGTGTGTTATTATCTACTCTTGACTCTAGATAATGAGGCAACA